CTCTGATTTTTTTCCTGGTAAACTGTGGAAGAACTTTGTGGGCACAAAGCAGAGGAGGAGATACCTGTAAGTATTATAGAAATAAAATGATTTAGACTGTATTCTTGTTACAAAAACGAGACTGTCAGTCTGAATGAAAGCTGCTAGCAGACCATAGCCTGTGTGTTCAATTGCATCATCCGGCTCAGGACTGAAAATAACCCCAAACCTGGGTGTGAGAGAGAGGTGTGTTTGCATAAGGAAAGTATAGAGTAACACCTGAGTAAGTAAATACTACTTTGAAGTCATACTACAAATGGCTTTTATGGCTTTTCATCTTTTAAGTGCTTCTCTTTCTCCTAACAGCCATTATAAGAAAGTGTCTGTCTTGAAAATGTAAAACTAAATTGCTGCAGCCCAAGATTTTTTTCTATTAAGGAAAGGCTATAGGTAGGATGGAAGATGGGAAGAAATACATTTCCTTCAGCATTTCAAGTTTTCTTTTTCTCTACATCATCCCCACGTCTGAAGAGAAACACATCTGTTTTATCTACTTTGCTAGAGTGTCTGAAACAGATAAAAAACAGTAGATGGCTCCATAAAGGTCACATGCTTTCCTTTGAGTCTGGTTTCTTGTAATATAGCTGTTATACCAGGGAGGTAGATGTGATTTTTAGATATAACTACACAGAGAATCAGCATTTTTTAGCTAGGATGGGGGATAATCTGCCATTTCCCTCTCAGAAATCGGCAGCTTCAGAATGAGAAGGAAATAGTTCAAGACTAATGAAATAAAAATTAGGGGGAGGGAGATGACACTGACATCCTGAAGCATGTTGAAAGGTGACACTAGGAAGGAATAAGCTTCGCTATGAGCATTGGAAACTTCGGCCACGGAACAAGTGGTGTGAAACCACGGGTTGGTTAGGCCGAGTTCCTGTGCTCCACATCCGATGCTGCTTTCTTTGAAAGTGGTTCTTGGTTTCTAGATTAAGTTAACAGAATCTGCCAGGGGATATAAATTATGCCCAGGAATGACATGGCATCGGTATTTTAACTGCACCTCATCTGAAAAAGTAATTCGCTTTGTGGTTCGAGGCTTGTGGCAGTGCTGTAGGTAGTCTGGCTATGAGCTGTTGTATTTGTTATGGCAGCTGCTCAGAAATGACTTCTTCAAGCCATTTTCAATGGCTTGAAAAAAACTAAAAGCTTTATTTTTGCATTGGAAGATTTAATTCCTTTGATACAGTGCTAAAATCTGACTACTGCAATTTTTAAAACAGGTGAAATATGAATGTCCTGTTTTCTTCTAACTGGAAAGGCAGCAAACTTGAAGAAACAAAGGAAAAATAAGCTGCTTTCAAACCTTCCTCGGCTGAACTTCTGGTGGTGGTCTCCAGTGTACTGACTTTTTTTGAAACTAATTGTACTTTATGCTAGCTTTGTGTAGCTTTGTTGTGGAATAGTCATGCTTTGCCATCCGACCGTCAGGGCTCGCCTTTGGGAAGGCAGTGTGCCTGACAAAGGGCTGTGTAGCTGACAAACATTTCTACTCTCTTCTCCAGAATTTTGGAGTTCAGTAATTTCTTAAATTTGTCACTAATTGTTTAGAAAACATTTTTGGAAGTCATAGTTGGCAGAGCAGATTTTTATTTCTATTTTTATATAGTCTAAAAAGACTGTTCTCATTACCAAAACCCCAGTTGTTTTGAGGTCGACTTGAGCTGATGGTAGTTGCTGATTATCCAAAATATGTCGGTAACTTTTGATAGCTCTTAAAGCTAGTAAACATCTCCTAAGCATGTGGAATTAGCTTCTCTGTTAATTTTTCCTTTTTACTTTAAGGAACATTTTCAAGGTGAGTTTAAGTCGGTCTTGGGAATTAAATTATACAGCAGTCTAGTGATGATCGGAATAGTCTCTGAATTAAGCCTCTTAATCTTGTCTCTTAGGTACTTTCATGTTTTGCTTAAGAAGTTAACATTCTTTTTCCACATATGAACAACTGCTCTGCAGTTAGTCCTGAGGGATGGCTTTTTTCCTGGGCTTTTTTTCTCGTGCTTTACATGAATGCATCTTTAGTATTCCCTGCTATTTCTCGATGTTGCTATGTCAGGGTGAGTTTTACTAGTCTGGTGCTTATTGAGAGTTCCAGCAAACTTACTCAGCCCAAGATGGTGCAACAGCTAAGCCTTAACTGGCTGGTCTAAATACAGTATGAAGATGCTTCCAAAAGTTACGCTGCATTTTAAAGACTGTACTGTAGACCTGCTTTTAATACGGAATGTTGAGTAAAGACCAGCCAAGATGCGCAGAGTTCATGCTAGACGATACAAGATCCTCCCTCTATTAATGTGATCTTCAGAAATTTCTGCAAATATGCTGTTTATCAACACTTGCGTTCCATTTTGGTTGTGATTAGGGAAGGTCGGAAGGCTTTTCAGGTGTAGGTTATCTGCAGTTGCAGTGGCTCCTGTGTGAGTGGGCTTTATAAATCAGCTTTCTCGGGGTGGGTGTTGTGATGCCTTTTCTGCAATTGAAAATGAGTAACACCAGAAGAGAGACAGTAGACTGGAAAAAAGCTTGGAATACTCTTTCAAGGCTAGCGGTATTCCTGTAAGATTGTATTTTGTCTCTTGTGACAAACTGGATGAAATCTCCCCTTATGTAAATACACCAGCTATACAGCATAGTAAAAATTCAGGGTTTAGTACTCAAAAATTTTTGGTGGTTCCCAAGACATTTGTTATGTACTGTAAAATGCCATTTTGGCAGAAGACATCTGTCTCTAAAAGTTTATATTAGGAAGTTTAAGAAACCACCTTAAGGAGGTAGAAGAGATAATTATAACAAGGTTTAGGATAACTGCCTATCTTTTTTTATTTATTGAATACTTAAGCACCCACATTTAAGAGGATATTTAGTTTGAAGCAGAGGGAAAGGGATGAATGCGAAGGTAGCGGTTAGCTGAGGGTAAAGAACAGAGGTGGTAAGTGGAGGATGAGGTGAAAAATGGAGATGATGATGCATCAGGTGAAGAATTAGGATAGCTGTGCTTGCAGTCTTCTTGTAGCTTTAATTCCTTTCATACGGAGTCTGGACTGCAAAGCCGAGAGGTGGTGTCTCTGTTACTATTGTCCTGTCCCACTAAGTCGCATCCTCAGTTATTTGTGTGTTTTGTATACTTTTCCGTACGCAGTTTTTACTTTTGTGGGTAATATAGCTCAGGAGTATATTAACAGATCAAGATTTTTTTTTTTCTTATTTTTCTTTTGAATACTGTAAAGATAATGAAGACAGGTAGGGGGGAAAAAGGGCTTTATTTGTGTGGTTAAATGATGATTAAGTTTTAGCAAAACATTACTGACTCCTTTAAATCAATCAGTGCGGTTGAGAACTTGCAGTGAGCTTTCAAGCAAAGCCCTCTAGCAGCGCAGGAATGACCGAGTGATTATTATTGGTGGATTTCTTTATTTTATTTTTGTAAAAGCAAATGCTGTCCTAATAGACTGTAGGGAACAAAAAGCTTTTAGCTGACCCTTTACATCTTGAGGGAGTGAATATCTTTACTAGAGAAGATTATATAGGTGGGTCGTAGCAGAGCTTGTCGAGGGAGGGATTGTTGGGAGGACGTTGAGTGGAAGCTGTGAAGAAGATTATGAAGGTGTCATCAGAGCTGATGCCTGTGCATTTCACCCTCTCTAGATTGTCTCTACTTGCATTGGGCCAGGCAGAGCAGTGTCTTTTGGCAGTTTGGGTTCCTGAGCTGTGGGGAAAAGGCATTCTGAAGATGAAACTAATTGACTTACTTAGAATATTTTAAGAACAAAACCTAAATTTGAAAGTAAGGTCTCTCTTACAGTAACAGTCATAATTCATATCAGTTATTACTTAGGCCTGGCAAGATGCACATTTATTGGATGGTGTACTCGCTACACCCGCAGTCTCAGAATAGTGTAAATGTTTGTGACTTAATTATTTGTAGTATGTTAAGTATTTGGTTGCAAACATTCTGATGCCTGTCAAGCAGTTTAAACATGCACATCTTTAAAGACGTACTTAATGATTTTAGCAGTGTCTGAGCGAGGACAAGTGTACTTTCACACCAAAGTACGTACCCTTGGAATTCTAGTGACTTCTTTTAATGCAGCTAATGCAGTGTGCTTAAAGTAGCAGAGTTACATTTTTTCACACTAATTCCTGTGAGCTTAATTTCATGTTTGTAAATTTGCAAAAGTAGAGCAATTTCAAGTGACTATAAATCTGATACATTTTATTTCCTAGATTAACACAGCAAGTGAAACAGTCCTAAATACAGTATTAGAAGTATTATCCTTCCTCTATCTCAAGCTTTTTGTAGTAGGAATTTGGAGTTGATCGTGGCTTTTTTTTCTTGATTTCCTGTTCTATCTCTATGCAGTTTCTTTCATGTCCTATCCCTGAAATTTGTCTGCAGCCACCAGTTAGCAGAAATCAGGATAACTTTTGTATTGCATTGTATAATTGCTCACTAAGTGACTGAAAGATACTATGAAACACTTAATTCCATTTGTACTATGCAGAGCTTAATCATGACTGCAGCACTTCCGTCTCTGCTGTTAGAGGAAAGCAGGCAGCAGAGGAAAGAAATGCAAGAACCGCACCAGTTTCCAGTGTCTGTGCTGTGTTCCAGATTCATAAAACTGGTATTCTAGGTACATTTAAATTCATCGCTAAGTGTGTAGTCTGCATAATTATAGCAAAGACTTCCTAAAACCCCTGAGCCTTCCCTCTCTGAATGCTTCTCCATTACACAAGCCTGACTCAGTGAATGTGCTTTGTAACGGCTTCTAAATACCCGTTCTATTACAACAGAACTGTGGGGTTTTCACTCTTTTAAGCCTTGACCGCAGAAACAGTTTTAAACTTTGAACGTTACAAATTGACTCCTGTCTAGAAGGAATTTTGGGATCTAGAGGGAATTTTGAATCTTTCACTTCATGATGGAAGTACTGAAGGAAGCTTGCGTGCTCTTCTCTAAGACAAACCCTTTAAATTTGATCTTTGTCTGTATTTTCAGGTAACTGAGCTGAATGAGCCTCTCTCAAATGAGGACAGAAACCTGCTGTCTGTAGCCTACAAGAATGTAGTTGGAGCTAGACGGTCTTCCTGGCGTGTCATCAGCAGCATAGAGCAGAAGACTATGGCAGATGGGAATGAGAAGAAGCTGGAGAAGGTTAAAGCCTATAGGGAGAAGATAGAAAAGGAGCTTGAGACAGTCTGCAATGATGTTTTGGCTCTCCTAGATAAATACTTGATCAAGAACTGCAATGACTTCCAGTATGAGAGCAAGGTCTTTTATCTGAAAATGAAAGGGGATTACTACCGCTACTTGGCAGAAGTTGCTGCTGGAGAGAAGAAGAACAGTGTGGTGGAAGCCTCAGAAGCTGCCTATAAAGAGGCTTTTGAAATCAGCAAAGAGCACATGCAGCCCACCCACCCAATTAGGCTTGGGCTGGCACTCAATTTCTCCGTGTTCTACTACGAAATCCAGAATGCTCCTGAGCAGGCCTGCCTTTTAGCCAAACAAGCCTTCGACGATGCCATAGCAGAGCTGGACACACTAAATGAGGATTCCTACAAGGACTCCACTCTCATCATGCAGTTACTTCGAGATAACCTCACTCTGTGGACGAGTGACCAGCAAGACGAAGAAGCAGGAGAGGGCAATAATTAAAAAGCTTTCCTCCGATCCCTCTTTCATCCACTTCACCATCCCCATCATCACCAATGTTTCCTTGCCACAGTCACACTAAATATCTAGTGCTAAGCATATCTGTATTGTACAGCTGTTCAGATCTGCTGTCCACTTTATCAAGAAGCAGTTTCAGACGAGTCTTCATGGGCGTTGATGGATCGATCGGTTTATTGGCCCTATTTATCTTAGTTGCACTTGAACAGTGCAGAAGGATGCATAGTAAATGAGGCATTTTTAGTTTGCCTGTCGATTGGAAAATACGGGAAAGAATAATGGAAAGTGATTGAAGCTGATTAGATTCCAGTTAAAATTTTTTCCATTTGAAATGAGCTGACAGTTCTGTTAAGCAGTACATCTTGTGCATGCAAAGTAAATTAGCCACCCCAAATTTTTTTCAGTCAATGAAAGCAGTTAAGCTGATGTGAAATGACAACCCTGTTCATCAGTTTACAATAAACTGTTTGAAATGTGAGGTTTCGGTAGCAAGTTTTTTTTTTTTTGCCTCTAACTTATGTGCACAGTTTCTTTTAATGCAGTGCATCTACCTAAGAGTTTTGATACTTGTAACCTTTTGCAGTTGTTTTGAAGAATCATGAATTTATTTTTTGTAAACTCTTCGGCTGTTTAGTTGTCTGTGTATTCTGACAACACTATGTCAATACTAGCCCATGTTAAGATGGATGACTGAGATGCCAGACTTCTAAATTAAATGTTTTGGAATTAAATGAATAAAATAAAATGCTGCTTCGGGGATGTTATCTCTACATAAGCTGTCCTGTCTTTTGTTCAGAGCAGAGACTGAGTTACCTAACACATCACCGATGGGTTAAAACATACCTGATCAAAAGTTTTAGGAGAAGTTGCCTCAGATGCTAAAAAGACCCTAGCAGTATGCTGGAAAGAAGAAGAAAAAAACGCAAACAAAAAACCCCACAAAACTCAAACCCACCCCCAGCCATCTAGAATGTGATACCGCTCACCTGCGTTGAAGTGGAGTTTCCAGAGGTGTCTGTAGTGATGTGCCTGGCAGAGCAGCGTGACGCAGTTCTGCTCGGGAGCTGGGAAGTTGTAAAGAACGTTACTTGTCACGCCGATGTAGGCACTTGCGTTTGCTTCTGTCCGCTGTAGCTTCTGAACTTTTTTTTCTAAGTGCTAACCACCAAATCACCTTTACACATGAAAATCCTGGTAACTTTATTTCATATTTACCTGTTTCAAACAGAAGCAGTATTTGTTCTTAAAGAAGTCCAGTCCCCAAGCTTATGTTTTTGTTTTTTTTTTTTTCTCCTAACAGTTAGTGTATATGTATATTTATTGGTTCCGTACGTACTTCTGTAATGGTGTGTTACAGAAGCAGAAGTTAGCTGTTACGTGTCGCTGTATCCAGACCGCTGCTTGGCATCTGAGCTAGCTCAAAGGTCGTGTAAGTTCTCATTTATCCAAATCTATTTTTCTTTGATTCGTGCAATAAATATTACTGGTCTGAATACCCACAACAACTACTCATACTTTTTAAAAGCAGCACACTGGTTATTTTTAAGTATTTGGAGGATTAGAATTTTTAATGGTAGATTTGGGTGTATTTATATATTCTGTCATCTTCTAGGTAATTCTAGCTTTATTACATCAGTAAAGTTAGCGACAATTGAAAGACTTAATTCAACATCTGCAAAAGATGAAAATACAGATCCTTGATGTTATGCTATTGTACAATCTTGAGGTGCTTGACCTCCTAAAGTAGTTTGAATTGTGTACTTAATATGAATTCCTGCTTTCCTGCTGTCTGCCAGGGCCTGTTCTGGCAGTCACTTTTTCTTACGTGCTCCTGTTTCATCAAACAGTATGCACGTCCCTCTTTTTCAGCTCCCCTTTTTGCCAGTAAGGCTTGCAGGAGTCTTTTGGCCAGTGATATCCATTCGGGCTCTGCCTGTCTCCTAGATTCCTACAGCTTATATTCCTTTCCTTCCGCTCTGATCTGCTTACCTGCCCCTGTGGAACCAAGGTAGAACTTGGCAATAGGACTGCCTTTTCATGTTGAAACACTCTGCCTGGTTAATAATTAACATTATTGGCAATCGCTAGGTTAATTTGCTTCCTGTTTATGCAAGTACCACTATCTTTTTATTAATTCAAAAGCTAAGGAGTCCTTTCTCATTTTAGTTACTGTCTTGCGCAGATCCTTTGTCACAAAACTACTAGCATGCTGTAGTCTGCAGGCGAGCAGCAGGTCTCTGACGTCTCTCTCGGACTAGGCAGCTGAAGATGAGCTATTCACCTGGTGCGTACAATGGAGACCAAAGTGATTCTGGAGAATGGTGCAGTTCCTGGGTGCTTTAGTAATTCCGGGTAGGAAAGTTTAGGAAGTACACCAATCAGGCGGTTGTGCTTATCTGTATTGCCATTAATCTGGGTAAATCTTTGCTGGGTATCGTAAAGTACGAAATTCTATTTTGAAAGAGCTTACTGACTCGACTCCGCTGGAAGGGTGGATTCCCTTCTCCCAGGCAGTATAGATTTCAGTGGATGTATCTGTTACAGCCCTAACTATCAACAGGTAAGAGGACAGTTGCGTTATTAGGAAGCTGTGTGAAAAGTTGCAGTTCCTTCATCGTCTCGTGGTGAACCACTATCATGTCGCACTCTCAGTCTCCAGTTGACTGAAGGCATTCTGACAGTTCGTGAATGTCGAGGCCCTCGGAAGGATCCTGGAGGGGATGGAGAATTAGGAATGCCAACGCGGGGGTATTGCATACTGGACTTGGTATGCTTGCTCTGTCTAAAGGTGATTGATACTTAGAAACTATCTAGGCTGCCAGGTGTCAGGATCTAATAGCAGAAGTAGACATGGTTGGAAAGTAGCAACTGCCTTCTAAGAATCTCATTCCTTGTGCCAGGATCTTCAGAGGAACTATCCCAAAGAATCGGGAATAGCAAGAGTTTCCTAATTGAATGTCCTGACACAAACTCACCAAAATGACATAAAGTTTGCCAGTGAACTGTTAAATGCAGGCAGCTTATTATCGAGTCCTCCCAGCACAGTCGAATGCGGTGAACAGGAAGATTCTCTCGTTTATAGCCTAGCTCCCTCTGAAACATGGCAGAGCTGAAATTCATCACGAGGAGCAGCTGACAGGTTATGTTTTCCTGCAAGTGGTGGCATGTGTTTGTGCTGGGCCACTTGTGGATTTGAGATTACTGGAGCTACAATCTCCATATACCCGAGTGATGACCAAGTTCTTCCGAGGGTGATGAACTTAAAGGCAGGTGAGTGAATTATTGGGCGTCTTCACGTAACCCTGTGCACAAGGTCGCAATCCCAGGAGTAGTTCTGGCTTCGTTAAAACTGTGGGCTGTACTTCGGTGTACCCTTCTTTTGTGCGATCTGCCTTTTAGTTTTGTAGCAGTGGATGCTTCCCTGAGGACAAGGTGAATTATTTAGCTAAATCTTCAAAGAATCTGTACTTTTTTTCAGGCAATTCTTGCTCGGGGTGCTCTGTGGCATAAAAAGCACTTCTGTCCTTGTTAGGGGTTCGTAAACCACGTGCTGACAGACACAGTTGCTCTGCATAAGTTGATCGCCGCTCATCTAATGAGTCTCAGGACTAAGTCAAATTCTTTCACCTGCTTCTGCCACTAGCAGTATAACAGGATATTGGATTTCCAGTAGGAGAGGAGGTACTTCTCCCGTGTTCTCCAGTTGTCAGGGAATGATCCAACGGCACAGAGAGCATGTTTTTGTGGTTGCTTTTTGCTAGGAGTCAGTAGAGAGTGTTCTGTAGAGCAAGAAAAAGAAATGCTCCATATTATTGCTTCCACGTCAGAAGCTTTTTCATTTTCTGGGCCCTGGGATTGCTGTATGCTTTCTTGTGATCCTTATTGTAGTAACGATCTGGAGGAAACCAAAGCGGAGGAATAGCACGTGTTGTTTATTGCAATATTCTTCAGTGGGCTGTAGGATTCAGGTATTTTGGAATTGGTATTTCTCTTAGGTGACCCCCAAGTCATGTCTGCTGTCTCTCAGTCTCTGAAAGAAATAAAATCCTAGGTTACACCCGATTTATTGTTTGAAGACACCAGATGTGTTCACCAAAAGCGCTTAGTTGATGTTCACAGCATTCTTTGAAGCAGGAGTAATTTCAATGGAAAGACTTAAAACTGAGGGACCCCCGCCCCCTCCCGGGGAGCTTCCTTCGCGTTGCCTTGTTTCAGGCAGAAGAGGATGCTTGCTAGTCTCGGCACGGTGAGGGTTACGGTGCTTACGTGCGGGCCCGCCCGAGCAGTACTCTCACCCAGAACCAGTCCTTACCATGCCTTTCACAGGCAAACTGCTGGAAGATGAAGTCACTCCAAGGGTGGTGATATAATATTAGCAAGGTACATGGGTATCCTTGAACTTTCAGCAACCTGAGAGCTGCTAACAGTAAAGCAGCGTTTTATGCGATACTATATGAGCTTGAAAGCTAAGGGATAGTCAGACCTTAAATTAATAGTGTAGTCTTTATAGGAACAGAGATACTCACAGTCTATGTCCTAATCTGCTCAAATATGTTGAAATTTTGTATAAACGATTGCGTTCGTCTGTTAATGTACACACACACACACCCCTTCGCATCCCACACTAGAACAAAATGGGCCAGTGCTCTGGGAAACTAAACCCCTTAGGCTGTATGTAATAAGGGGCTTGTTATACAAGGGAAGCGATGGCACTGAAGGACGCTGACTTTTTAGGCAAGCGGAAAGCTTAAGAAGAGTACCGAGACAGATCTGCGTGGCTAACGCACATCAAGGAACCACAGTGACTCTGGTAAGTAACCATTTTTTCTAGTGACTGCTTTGGCATAACTATAGTTTTGAAAAGAGTTCTTCCATGTTGCCTTTCCTTCGTATATAACTTCTGTGTATGTTTTCCATCCTTAATACTCACACTTGTGACCTAAATCTGTAAGCTGGATGGACTGACTTCTGGAGCCAGATGTACTGCCGAAGGAGCACGAGGGTGCTTCCTGACCTGCTCCCTCGGCTTCTTTCAGCAGCTGCAGTAGGCTGCTGCATAGTAATGTAGAAAAAAAATTATGGTGGTACCCTTCAGGTTGAGGGAAATGAAAAGACTGGTTGTATTTTAAGTCATACATGAGAACGACTTAAGAATAACAATGGGAGTCAGAAGGGTGAAAGCCGATGTCAATACACACTGTCAAATATTCTCTGTCAGCACGGGACCAACCTGAAATCCTTCAACAAGCCAGTTTGAGTTTAAGGACAGAGAGAAAACAGGAGCAATATTCCAGTGCTTTGGATTCTTGTTTTTTAATTCTATCCGCACCATATATTTGAACTAATTTAACATAGCTGCTCAAGAAAAATTAACTAAAAACCAGTGTAACAACATGAAAAAACTTGCTGGATATGTTTTAGGTTCATTGAAGAAGCTCGTTGAAATCAGTGGTGCTTTTTGAAGACTGTGAAGTTACTTATAGACATAAATGATAGAGGATGTTTAGGTCTGGTTCTGAACAAACTCCAAGTACTTGAAGCTCCACATAGATGCAGATAGTTTGGTTTCTGAGTCTTAGTTATTTCCGAGATGAATGCAAGATGTGCTCCGAACACTGAGGTCAGGCCAGGTAGATTTTTAATTAGTGTCAGCAACTGAGCTGTCTGTTAGAAATAAAGTAAGCCAGGCTTCCAACTACTTTCACCTGCGTGCCCCCCAGCGAGCGAGTGCTTTATTGATACAATTCCTTTCCCCAACTAGTCCCAGGTA